CCAAGGGGTGGCTGGCTGGGGAAGGACTGTGAGAGGTTGGCTCCAGGGCATGTCTAGCCCCTCTCACTCAGTTCCACGCAGCCGGCCACCTTCTAATTAGTTTCCTTTCAATGTGCATGAATCTGTGCACCAGGCCACTAGTGTCTTAATAACTTGCTTAGCCCACTGCTTTTCAAAAAGTAAGCCTCTGATAAACAGTTAGAATCATAGAATAACAGAGAAAAGGACCCTCCTCTCTTCTCATTTTATAATAACAAAAATGAGGTCTAAGAAGTAGGAACTTGCTCAGCATTTATTTAATGAATAAGATCTGGAATGCCAGAGGAAAAATTGTGTCACGCAATGTACTAAATTCTCCTGAGCCAGGTTTCATGAGCTGGTTGATTTGCCAGGTAAACTGTTTCGTGTTGTGGGATAAGGAACATAGACCACGTCAATCACCTTGAAATGCAAGCGACTGGTGTGGCTGCACAGAGCACTGGCCTCATGAAGCCGTCACAGCCACGTTGGTCCCAAAGGGGAAGACTGTGGTGACAGTTTATTTTGAGAAGTGAGTCAGCCCCACGTCTGTGTGTGCTTGGTGTTGACAGGTACCAGTGCTTCAAGTCTGCCTGGATGTTCGAGGTGTTTCACAGGGGCTTCTCCTTTCCTGTCAACTATAAAACCCTAAAGACAGCCTTGCAGGTGTATGACAAGGAGGTGCAGTGGACCCTCGGAGCAATCCTCTACAGGACCCGCTTTTTACCCTTAAGGTATGGGTGTGAATTGGGAGCAAGAATCAAACACAGGATGCTTCTCTTGTTTGCCATCATCATGGCACCTGTGGTTTGTGAATGTCTGGGCAATCTTGTTAGCACTGACCGTGGGCAGAATTGCAGACTCAATGAGTTTGACTTTGCTCCACCCTCACCCCCAGTCCTTCTTCCCTTGCCCTTCCCCATCCCTTCATATGCAGCGCAGGGTTTGATTATTCTCAAGTGTCAGCTCCCTAACCCCTGCACAGAAGGGTCAGCTCTAGGGTTCTTAACATTTATGGCCTTGGAGCCCTTCTCAAAATAATGTTTTTAATGCATAACATTAATATATAGGTTACAGAGGAAACCATTGTATTGAAATATATTTATCAAAATATTATAGAAATTAAGTTTGTAATATAGTAATCTGTTTTCTTTATTAACATATAAAATTACAAGGTCGTATTTTAAGGCATCTGCAGAGCACCACAGTGTGAACTAGAGACCTGTGAGTTTTACTAGGAACAAAGTCACAGGTCCTGCTGCTACTACAGTAGTTTGCTGGCTACATTCATGTCCAGTGGACACTACATTAGGTGGAATTGGGTAAAGAAAGCTGTGTGCTTTTCCCCATTCAGGTTCACAGACCAGGCTCTCAGTTGACCTCCACAGAAGATCCCTGGTTCACTGATAAATGAGGTCTTAGCTTTTTCAGACCCCTCCCCCCTCCCACTTCATTTCCTTGAGCACCTGCAAGCAATACTTGTAGCGGGGTTAACTGCAAAAGTTGTGCGTAGTGGGTGTTACTGATCAGAAACATGGTTTGACTCCACATTGCCTTCCGTGTATAGTGAAACCCTCACAGTTCTATATGTTATAACCAAATGATGATGATGAGTGCACTTTCACATGTTATCTCATTAATACTTGCAAGTGCCCTCTATTAGGCCATATTATCCTACATTTTAGAGGTAAGGAAACTGAGTCTCAAGGTTAGTTTTGCTTTCAGAGCTGTGTCCTGACCTATGCCCCTCTAACCCATGTCCTGTGCACTGTTATGTCACATTATCGCCTGATCAGTCCACTGTGGCCTCTCATGGTTGATGGTTTTGTTTCCATGTGGGCAGAGATATCCAGCAGGAGGCATTCCGGGCCAGTCACGCTCACTGGCGGGGCTTCTCCTTTGTCTACAATCACTACTTGTTCTCCGGCTGCTTCCTGGTGGTCCTGCTCTCCATCCTCCTCTACCTGCTGCGGCTCAGGCGCATTCACAGGCGGATGCTGCGCAGTGGGGCAGCCGCCACCCTCTGGCTGGAGGAGGGCCTTCCGGCCCAGAAGATGGCGGGAACCTTGTGAACAGGAACAGGAGTGAGTGCCCAGGAAGACCTTCTAAAGGAAAAGCCATTTTTGCCTCAGGGTTTTTTCTCTTTATCTTTGTTTTATTTTTCCCTTCCCTTTTTGGTCCTTGAAACAAAAACAAAATCCATTGTATGTAAACTCTGCTGTCCAGGAAGATTGCATTTGCCACTGTTTGGCACATAGCTTTAAACTGAGGAGTAGGGAAAAGGGAAAATGACTTCATACTTGCTGTATAGGACACCTGCCAAAAATTATGGAGATTTTTGGTTTTTCTTTAAGGTATGTTTAATTTTAAACAGATGCACTTTGATAGTGGAGGGAAATGGCAAAGGTGTTTTCTATGGTGAAGATGGGACTGAAGAGTGAGACTTTTACAGAACCCAGAACCTACTGAATGAAATTAAAATGCTTTTCCCTCTATCTTGAAAGCTATAACCTAAAGAGGGTGATGTTTAATTTTTATTTATTGTTTAGGTCTGTCACTATGTTTTCTTTTCAGGTTCAAAAAATCAAAATCAAAATCTAAAATAGAGAAATATAATATCCAAAATTGAGAAAACTAGCTCCCAGGAGGTAACTGTTTTTAAAATTGATAGTGAAAAGACCTGAAAAATGTGAAATAATTACTAAGAGTGCTCTGTGTGTGTATGTGCGCGCACGTGTGAGAAAAATGCTAAAGAAAGAATGAGGAATACAGTGCTCTTTTGGAAACACACACTTCAAAATTTACTGTTTCATTTTATTTTATTTAGAAAAATCCCCATTACTATTATCTTTTCCTGACCATAGGTAATTATTTTCTTTATCCCATTTTCCAGTGGCCTTAGAATACCGGGGCTTTGAAAGAGTTGGAAAATTTGTAGTTTCACTAGTTTTGATGTTACTAGAACTTGAGCTGGTGCCAACTGACATGTACGCCAGTATTTTTTTTAATATATATATATATTTTATTGACTTCAGAGAGGAAGGGAGAGGGAGAGAGATAGAAACATCAATGATGACAATGATGAGAGAGAATTATTGATTGGCTGCCTCCTACACTTTCTCTACTGAGGGTCTTGCCTGCAACCTGGGCATGTGCCCTGATCTGGAATCGAACTATGACCTCCTGGTTCATAGGTCAACACTCAACCACTGAGCCATACTGGCTGGGCACACCAGCATTTCTTAGTAGTGCATCTTTGCTTGTTTAATTGTGCTCACATTTCTTCCAACTTAAGTTGGTATTCTCCTCTTAATTAACCCCTTCCCCGGCAGAAACGTGTATACACGTTTTCACAAAATGTTCTTCTTCAGTCGTCGACGAGTATACTAAGAAAATATGGTAAAAAAATATGGTTTATAGGAAGACGAGTTACAAATTGTTTTCATAACCAGCATCAAAAATACTATATAGAACCAAAATAAAAAAATTAGTCTGAAAAAGAAACGTTTTTAACAAAAAAATTGTTGGGGAAGGGGTTAAACGTTGTCTCTGCAGTTTTATTCTGAAGACCCCATACTTAACTTGATAACTTCTTTTTATTACTGTTGGGGTTAAGGCTGCATTGGCAATGCTACTATAAATCCACATTTTGAAGAAAACAAGTCTGATATATTTAATAGAAATCTAAAAAAGACAACTGGATTGGCGTATGTGAGATCAGTTGTTTTTTTCACCAATTCATTGAGTTTGGAACCATTGGGAATGCTTAGATTTTTTAGTTGAATTACGTGTGTGCGCACGCACTGTTTAACCCCAGAAGAGTTAAATCTGTCTAGTTGGTACCAGATGTATATTTCGAGAACTATCAGCTGCTTTAAAAAAAATCACTGATTAGAGAAAGAATTGAGATTCTGAGTGGGGTTTTATCTTGTTTATTAATTACTTAAAATAATGGCATACTGTACATTGATGATTTTAAAAGATTACAGATTTGTGAAAGAAATGCAGATTCTCTTATTATGTTCCTCAAAATGAATATCTTAACAAGGAAAGAATTATTGGTGGAATACAGTCAAACCTCGTTTCTTGAATGTCTTCCATCTTCAACAATTTGGTTCTCGATCAGGTTGTTCACAGAAAGAATGTCTCTGTTGTTGTTGAACCAAACTTCCACCTGACAACCCTTTCATGCTGATACCTCAGTGTGACAAAAAGCGTATCTCAGGCAACAAAGGGGAGAATGCTTTTGTTGCTGGCAAAATCAATGATTAGCACAATCTTAAAACATATAAAGCGGCCTTCAAGAGTGCTAATGTTGCTAAGGCTGTGAAAGAAACAATGATTAAAGAGGTAGATTTGGATAAAAGGAGAGCAGTTAGCCAGTGACAGCATTTTAGAGGCAGTGATGTATGAACAAGCAAAGATGCTGCCTGCTGACCTGAAAGACACCCTGAAATGATTCCTTTACGGCTAGGAAGGAGTAGTTCAACAAATTTTAAAAAAATGTTTATTAATACATTAAACTACATTAGGCATATACTGTATATAAGAAAAGTTTTTAAAATGGAATCATTTGGGGATCTGGAACACATTAATTCCATTTACATTATTTCTGAGAAAAAATGATTTGGTTTTCGAACAAATTGCTTCTTGAACAGCCTTATGGGATGAATTAAGTTCAAGAACCAAGGTGCCACTGTATTTGCTTCTCAGATATTCAGAAGGTGGGAGGAGCTGTGTGATGTTACAGCAGCTAATGTGGAGGGAATCTTATTTCAGAGAGGATGGAAATAATTGTCCCCCACAAGGAGTCAGCTTAGAAATGCTGGTCTCCAGATACTGAATCTTCGGTCCCTGGTAAACCCTTTTCTATCAGGAGCCAGCCACAAGCGAGCTTCTGGAGGTAGAACGAGCCGGTCTGCGTCTCCTCGAGTTCTTAGCTGGGTTTGCTCTTGGACGGGGGGCGGATTTGTGGTGAAGAAGAAGTAAGTTTACACTGGAGCTTTCTCCACCAACCATTTGGAATAGTAAGGCCCAAAAGTGCAGAATAAAGAATTTTAAATGCCTCGTGTACGTGACTTTGCCTTTACAATCAAGGCACAGGCTTAAATAGGCCTGAATTACGACTTCCTTCTGTAAATAGCTACTGTTTGAGTAAAGGGTGCCCGCTGGCCCTGCTCTGTACTGTTCAGTGAGCAGTGCAAGGACGGACCCAGCAGCCCTGCTCTACACCCGGCCTCGGGACCCCTCACTGAAAGAAAGAAATCCCCAAATTACGGTTCCAAGGCCCAGACAGCCTTAGACGTGGCACAGCTCAGTGCCCATGCTCCCTGCAGGGAGCTTCCTGAACAGATCGCTGGACGGATTGTTGCCCACAGGGAACATCTGAAGACCCTTGAGCTGAGACTGTGATTCCATTTTTAAAGGGAACTTGGAGACAAAAAGAAGTTAAGAATATGCAGCAGAGACTGTGGCCTAGAGAGCCTACAATATTTACTGACTGTCTCTTTACTGTCCCTGCATGAGCAGTCACATTCAAGAAAGGACACACAGAATTCCCCTTAACTTAGGGGTTACCATTTCATGGGCACAAAAATGATGGCAAGACAAGTGACCAAACTTCAATTTTAAAATATTTGTTTATGCACCAGAATTTCATTTCTTAACCTTTCCTCTAGATTATTTTCAAGATCACTTTTCTAATAAACCAGGAATCATGTCCTTTTCCCCCCCCCTCCCACCCCCCACACATACACACACATTTAAAAAGTGCTATTCAGGAGGGCTCACTGTGCTGTGTTGAAATACCTGTAGTCACAAGATCTCACATCCTTTTTCACCACCTTATACCACAGGAGAGAGGCGGCCAGGTGCTTTCTCGGTGGTGCAGGGATGGGTTTCAGTGAGAGGCAAGCAGTGGAGAACTTAATTCAGGGGAAGAATTAATGTCACTTAGGGCCAGCCAAGAAGGCTGTAAACTCTGAATACTTGTAATTGAAAAAAAAAGAAATTAGCCTGGTGGGTACTTGCTAGAAGCCTTGCCAAAGGAAGACATTCTGTGTTCAATCTTGGCAGCAGCCACTGCAATAACACTCTGTTCCACTGTCATACTGTGTGCTGCTCCTGTGGTCATACTGTGTGCTGCTGCTGTGAAGACCCCAGAGGCTGTTCTCAAGATTTTACAGTCCATTTAAGGAAATCGCAGTAAAAGTACAAACATATTGTTTTGTACCAGTGGTTTTTGCACATTTCACCCCATACTCCTACCTTTAGGCAGCACCCCCAACCTGGGGGTGAACCGAAGAGGCTGCTGGTGGCTCAGCCTGGCCACCTTGGAGGCCGAGATCACTTGTTCACCACCTGTTGTCCACACCTGTGCACTCAGGTTGGAAAGCTCTAGATTAACAGATACTCAAATTTTAACTCGGCCTTACGGAGAATTGTTTTCCTTATAAGAAGCGTGCATTTCACTTAGCAAGAAACTCAAAAAGGCAAATGTGTTTTCCAAGCTTTAAAAAAAAATCAGCTTTAGGATTTTGTGTGGTAATGTGCAATTCAGCAAAACTACAAGTAAATTATTTGGTTATTTATTTCTATTTCAGTGTTTTCTTCTTTATGATATTGATTTTCCCTTTCAATAATAAATGACATGACCAACCAAGGAGAAATCTTTGTTCTGTTATAATGTTATTTTTGCAGTTAGGAATTACAAAAAGAATAAGGGAGCATAAATGTGTTCTGTTTAACGTTTTCCATTTGAGATAATAATTCTCTCTGGGGGATTCTTGTGGTGTGTCACTTGTCATTTATAGTAACCTCATGTGGCCACACTTGCACATTGGTTGGTGTTGAGAATCAAACTGAAAGTCCACCAATGGCCCACAGAGTTGTGTGAGCTTGCTTCCTTGTGATTTAACTAGATTTTTCTGACCTTTGAATCTTGTTACCTGTTGCAGTGCTTAGTTGAACTTGATTCTAAATTCAGTAAAATAAACTATCTGAATCTGAGGGCGCTTGTGTGTTTGCTGTGTCTGGTGTGCATGTGGTGAAGTGCCCATGTGCATCGTGGAGAGAGAGGTCTGTGTGTCCTGGGCCACAGAAACCAAACACACCACAAGGAGAAGTGTTTACCAAGGGAAACAACACTAAGCCATTCATCAGCAATGAAGGCCCCACCAAGAATGTCTAAGGTATTTGTTGTTGTTGTTAATCCTCACCCCCCCCCCCCAGGATATTTTCCCTTTGAATTTTAGAGAGAATGGAAGGGGGGAGGGGGGCGGCATTGATGTAAGAGACACACACCAATTGGTTGCCTCCTACACAGACCCTGACCAGGGCCAGGGATTGAACCTGCAACTGGTACGTGCCCTTGCCCGAAATCGAACCCAGGACCCCTCAGTCCACGGGTTGACACTATCCACTGAGCCACACTGGCTAGGGCATGTCTAAAGTACTTTAAGTACCTATTGCCTGGCTGATGTAGCTCAGTGATTGAGCATCAACCTATGAACCAGGA